GTGACGGAGGAGGAGGCCATGGAGGTGGCGGATATGGAGGAGGGGGCCGTGGTGGCGGCTATGGAGGAGGTGGCCGTGGAAGAGGTGGTGGAGGCGGCGGCTATGGCCGAGGCGGTGGCGGTGGTGGTGGCGGAGGAAACTGAAAGGCCCCGAGCTAAACCCACTATATGAGAGAACTATGTACATAGAAATCGTTCGTTCTTAAAGTATGGTAGAGAAGAGTAGATGAATAAGCTCTCCATGTATGCATGGAATCATGCACGTATATGTAATATGTTTTTCCCATGCACGAGCATGAGTGCATGATAAAAGGGTCAAATATCACCTGACTTGACCCCAGCAAGTTAGCTCCAAGGACTGACCATAAGTCATTGCAGCTAGTTTATGTATTATATATATATATGAATAGTATCTTCACTACTTTGTACTCGTTTTTAATGTCAAACTCTAAAATATGGACAACTTCGTAGTAGTGAACTAATTACCCAATATAGTATAGCCGTGCTTCTATACTACGGTCTTTTTTTAACACGTGGGCTCCTAATTGCTAGGCGGGTCTTTTTTTTTCTTTTTATTATTTTTTATTTTTTATAAATAATATAGTCGCACGGGTATACTCGAGTAATTTTTAAAAAAAAATAGTATAGCAGCGCAGCTTTACTGCAATATTTTTTAATTTAAAAAAAAAGTAGTATAGCCGACCGGCGATACTATTTGTACCTGAGTCTAATGTAGATGTATTTACATATGTGAGTGTGCGTAGGTGTCCAAACTCACATGCATGCTGAGCTCAACCTGGACACGGGTCTTTGCTTGAGCTAGTACGTTTTCATGCATAAAGGAAAGTCATGAAAAGTCAAACGTAGTATTCAATACAGCTAACTAAAATTTGCGTCCTCACTCGTAAACTACCCACTACTACCTTAATGGCTAATGTCGTACCCTTATTTTGTCGTTTAGAAATACCTCCCACCATGAACACTGTTTCATCAGCAAAGCTTATAGCATTCCCACCTTCAAGTCTTTCTTCTGAGATTTTTTAGCATTAATTGCAGTAAACCATGATGAATTTCACGGCTTTCATTTTGCAGTGATGATGTGGTTGACCACCCCTTCCCCTTGACGTCAAAAACGAATTCGACAGTGCCTAGAAAGACAACACACACATATATATGGCGTCATCAACTTTCATTTAAATAAGGATAAGTTCAATTTTCTAAATAAGGATGGAATACCCTGGAAGATTCATGCCGACTCCTTTGGTGATATTTCAAAAATTACCATTTATCCATAGACACGCATTTTGAAGCTAACTTAAAACCAGTAATTACCGTATATATTTACTAATCATCTTGCTCACTGTCTCTTCACAACAAATAGTAATTTCATATTTTACTTGTATTTGGGCATGCATGCATGCAGCAGTCAGAAAATTAACTTTTAACACCGAGGGCTTGTTGGGTAAGGATGAGTAGACTAGATTAGAAAAATATCTACTTTGAATGTATAATATGAATATATTGCCTAACTTAGAAGAAGAATAGGGACTATCTATAAAAAGTTGATGATTAAAACTTATTCCCCCTAATTCCCTTGAAATAAATAAACTTGTGTTTTAATGGATCCAATGCTAATGCTAAGATCAAATCCTCTTGATGAGATTGATCCCCAAATAAAAAAAATACAAATTTATAAATAAACCCAATCCTAGACATGTATTTATAAAAAAACCCAAACACTATTTAAACATAGAAACACACCCAAAATCAATAATTGTATATTTTTTGGGTGTGTTTATAAAGTGTTTTGGGTGTTGGTTTTTTTTTTAATTTCAGTCTCCATTTTGGGTATTTTAGTGAAACTCCCTAAAAAAAAACCTGGTCCCAAAAAGAAGCTTTTCAAAGAACGGAGTTGGGTAACTTAAATTAACAAGTGTCGGTCCATTAAAAATTGGTGGGATTATGAGGGATAAGTTTTACTCATAAACCTCTTATGAATAGTCCTCTAAATTAGACAATAATCCATATTATACCTTGATTACACATAAAATATAGGCATTTTGCTAATTTAGTCTAATTCAGTCTAGTCACCCCTAACAAACGAGTCCCGAGAGAAATAAAACATGCATGGCTCGGCTAGTTCGTGACTCATGAACATTCATGTAATATGACAATTTTTCCTCTGAAGCATGAAATCCAAGGAAAATTCATGCTGAGGTAGGCACTTGAAACAAATACCGTTTACAAAGCCGCTGTGCTCTCTCGAAAATATTCTATAAATAAATTGGTTCAGAGGCCACATGGCAGCACCAAACCCTCTTTGCTGAGCTCAACCTAAACACACGTCTCTGTTTACTCTGTTTCGGTAAAGGCTAACTGAAGCGATAACTGAGACAGTGCACTGCACATGCACTGTAGCCTATGTGCCTTCTTGTTCGGTAGCCAAGTAAGTACTTGAGACCTCACACCTGCGTCTTGTTCTCATCAGCCTCCTGCATTATAAATAAGGCCAAGCAGGCAGAGGCTAGCATTGCATTGGAGTTAGGTCTCAGATAAATATTTCTATATCTATCTGTGTAGCTTCTGCTTGTGTTGTGTGGCTTTGTGAGGGAGCGAGAGAGAGAGAGCAGTATGTTGGTGAAGAAGAAGATGAAAATGAAAGGCTATGGTTTCGTGCTTGCACTTGTTCTCATCTTTTCCTCGGTGGCAGCTGAGATAGTACCCCAAGATCATGAGAGCAAAGGTTTCCCTTTTTTGGTTTCATTATTTCTTGTGATTTTTTACAAAATTGAAGTGTGAACATGAGAAAATCACTAAATTCAAGTTTAACAAATCCTGAAATTGATTTTTATTGCATGGTATGAAGTCCACATGCATAAATCAATTTATTTGTTTTATTTATTTTCAAATTACAACTACAATTTTCGGCTTCACCTTCACACGTTTGAATTAATACTAGCTAGCTGAGCTCACAGATGAGTTGAAAAATTTGAGTACCTACCTGTGATGTGTGGCAGTGGATGGGGCAGAGAAGACGGTAGATGATTGCGTTCAGTACGAAGGCCTTGGTCGGCGCGGTCGGTGTGGTAGCTCCGCTGCCTACGCTCGTGAAGAAGCCATGCCAGAAACAGGTAAGTTTAAATGGGCATGCCATACATATGCGTATCTTTTTCCCGATATTTTCTTTTGATAAATGAAACATCTTCTGAAGGTTTTCTCATTACATGTGAGATAGTCCACTAATTCGAATCATTTGTATCCCTAATCCACATATACTCAATAAGCTTTACAAAGTAATTTTGTTTTCCCTATATAAAACAAGATGATCATATTCTTATACTTTTGGAAAGTTCATTTGTGCAGACAGCGTAGCAAAAGAATCAGAAGCGGTAAATCATGAGGTTTACAGCTTTGACAATCACCATGGCATTGGTGATCATCATGGCATTGGTGGTCATCATGGCATTGGTGGTGGTGGAGGACAAGGAGGTGGTGGTCAAGGTGGCAGCGGCAGCGGACAAGGAGGTGGTCAAGGCAGCGGCGGCGGACAAGGAGCTGGTCAAGGCGGCGGCGGCGGACAAGGAGCTGGTAAAGGCGGCGGCGGCGGACAAGGAGGTGGACAAGGCGGTGGTAAAGGTGGTGGCGGCGGACAAGGAGGTGGACAAGGCGGTGGTAAAGGCGGTGGACAAGGTGGTGGTGGTGGTAAAGGTGGAGGACAAGGCGGTGGAGGTGGTAAAGGCGGAGGTGGCGGACAAGGGGGTGGTAAAGGAGGCGGTGGTGGAGGACAAGGAGGCGGTGGTAAGGGTGGCGGACAAGGCGGTGGTGGTGGTGGACAAGGAGGTGGTGGTAGTGGCGGACACGGGGGTGGTAAAGGAGGTGGTGGTGGAGGACAAGGAGGCGGTGGTAAAGGTGGAGGACAAGGCAGTGGAGGTGGTAAAGGCGGAGGTGGCGGACAAGGAGGCGGTGGTAAAGGAGGTGGTGGTGGAGGACAAGGCGGTGGAGGTGGTAAAGGCGGAGGTGGAGGACAAGGAGGTGGTGGTAAAGGAGGTGGTGGTGGAGGACAAGGAGGCGGTGGTAAAGGTGGAGGACAAGGCGGTGGAGGTGGTAAAGGCGGAGGTGGCGGACAAGGAGGTGGTGGTAGTGGCGGACAAGGGGGTGGTAAAGGAGGTGGTGGTGGTAAAGGTGGCGGACAAGGCGGTGGAGGTGGATACGGTGGAGGTGGTGGATACGGTGGAGGTGGCGGAGGATACGGTGGTGGCGGCGGATACGGTGGAGGTGGAAGTGGCGAGGGTGGCAGTAACTAATGCTAGCAATAGAAAGGAAACCGATGTGATGGGCCAAATAAGGCTAGCTTAATGAACCAAGAATAAAAACAATGTACCTACTTAAACGAGGCCAAGCGCATGTATGATGAAGTGTAGAGAGGAAAACATGAGTGAGGGTTTGTGGGTTATAACCAAAAATATCCTTAGTCGACGCGATGTATGTAACCCCTTTTATAATATACTATATATATGAAGTATATTTTATAAATCCGTGCGTTTTTTTTCTTCTTATCGATGGATTGTGATGCATGTTAATTAAGATTAAAACTTATGAACCCTTATCCCATATTTTTGGTAAAAGTTATGATGAGTCAGAGTTTGGTGTGCAACCATGTAACATGTAACACTTGAGAGCAACACCATGAGATTGTGCCAAAGACGCAAGATTCATGGGCTAGCTTGGTAGAACTCAAGGACAAAGCACTAACAGTTCATTTTCTATTTTTGTTTTTCAACGGTGCAGTTAGAGCCACTGTGTGCCATGTGATGACACTAATACGGATGCCTCCTCCCCCATCTTTTTCTTTAGTTCAAGTTTGAATTGCAGTCACCAACTCTCTTATTCATCTCCAATTTTTAAAGGGGTGGGTGCCAATTTGACCCTGTAGTCTTTTCCCACTTTAAAGGGGTTGATAGACAAACATAATTAAAGGGGTTTGTCTACAATTCAAGATGTGTTATTGTCAACGAGTATTAATTAAGTGAAGAAAAGACATTGATTTACAGATTAATAATCTCAAGTTGGAACTCTCACGATACGAAACCTTAATCATCTTTCATTATTCATCAAGCATGATGGTGCGTATATACCAACAATGGATAGGTTAATTGTTACCAAATTTTGACCAAAATATATGGATATTGAAAGGGAGGGAGATTAGACCAAGACAATGAAAACGGTGGACAGATGTCAGTCACCCTTTGTCCAATAAACAATTGCTCCAAACTTCTAACATCCAACAAATTATACATATATAATATAGCACATAGGGTACGTACCTGTTCCCTCAAAGCTTTTATTTATTGCTTGAAAATGTTGTATTTACATTGTTCCCTAAATCAAGCTGGTTTCGTTGACAAGATGGAAACCAGTGAGGAAGAACAAAAGCAAACGAAGATCATTTAAAAGGCCTTAAATCTTCAACTGTTGCAGCAGCAGAAGCAGCAGCAGCTGGAAGACAAAAAGAAGAGCCCCAACGTGTGAAACAAAAAGGGCCTTCCAATCCAACCACCTGGTCCTGGCCCACCTTCGAGAAAAAAAAATGAAAAGTTAAAACCCACGAGCTCCTTTGAAAACAACATCAACGGGAAAGGCTCGTCATCTTCTTGGGAACAACTTCTCCATGCCCTCTCTTTCCCATTTGGCCTTTTTATATCTGTCTTTCACTCTCTGTTTCCTCCATGTTTTTGGGTTTTCTCTGAGAAGCAATTGAGGACCAGAAGTTATGAAGATCAAGAAGAAGAAATTGTGGTGGTCTCTGAGAAGTGAGCGCTCTCAATTGCAAGAAGAAATTACTTACTTAGTTTCTTTTGGGGTGACATTTATGTATGTCTAGCTTTTTGGTGTGAGGTGTTTCCGGTGGAGAATTCACCGGGCAAAAGATTTAGCGGCGTACATGGGAAAGCCAGGCATTTGTTCTTCTTCTTCTTCTTCCTCCTCTTTCTTCTTGTTTTATTTATTTTTTTCTTGTTATATTTATATATGCATGCACCTTTTCTTTTTCTTTTTCTCTGTGTTACAAGTGCACCAATGGTGGTAATTGACAGAAATGAAATAAGATTTGGCTGGTTTAATTTCCCAGGTCTTTCTCTCTCAAAGTGTCTTCAATTATGAATTAATATCCTTATATTATTTTTATTTTATTTTATAGTTCTTCCCATTTAGCTAATATCCCTCGGAGATCTGATTGCTATATTATGATCATGAATCGTGGAATTTCCTTCATTTTTGTTTAATTAGTTTCTTAGATAATTAGCTGGTTTTGTTGGTGAAGCATATTGTTGTTGAGCAATATTATAATCATATTAAAATGGTTTTGTTGCTTTTCATAAAATTATTGAGCCTTGGGTAATTACGTGACATAATTATTATTTGAAGGCCAACAACAACCGTTTAAAACAAGTAATTATTTCGTCCTTTTCAACCTAATTTACTCCATATTTTTCTTAAACCAATGGTTGGTAGAGGGGCAAATCAATGGCCAAATTAATTATAAAAAAGCACTTCCGGCAGCATACGTGTATAACGTAATTTTATTGTTGATGTATTGGTACGTCGTAAAAGTATTTTGTAAATATTTTATTGTTTGTTAGAAAAAAGAACATGTTATATTAATAGATAACGTGATCTTGTCAAATATGTAGATGTATATTCGAATTATGCGTCAGTTCATTTAAGAATCATATAATTAATAGATTATATTCACAGTTCGAAAAAAGAGAAAACAATTATATATTTATCTTCTAAATAATAACATGTTATATGCATCATGCATGTCAAATCACTTGGTGTTTTCGTTTAGAGGAATGCTAGTAACCTTTTTATGGTTTTTCATATTACTTATAAATCCTGAAAATGAAACCTTACTCTCTGTTTGGAAGAAGGAATTGAAAATTACATAGAATTCTAAAATGATGAAATTTAGATTTCCGTCATTACAATTTCTAGCAATTGAAGATTTCAGTGTTTAGATTTATGTATGTCGAATTTTGTAAATGGTAATATTGAAATTGTAAAATGACGTCTATTTTGGTGGAAATTAAACTTATTGATGCCCCAATTTTCACCATTTTTTCCGCGTTCTATTTAATAAATTATGCGCTTAAGTTGCTAAATAAGAAAATTGTTAATTTCTCACATTAAATTTTTAACTTTTAATTAAATTCTGAATTGTTTTCTCTTATTCCGACGGAAGGTAATATAATTGCAAATTTGGGCAGGCCTCGGGGGAGTGAAAAGCTATTTTGACTTGAAAATTTTGAGGCGTTTCAGGTGCATCAATGCTTCTTCTTGTAGGTTGATAAATGGACACCTGTTAATTTTGAGACATCTTTTTTTTGAATTGGATATAAGAAAATAATAAATAATCATACTAAAATAAAACTTGGTAATTGTTTTGATAAACCGTGTCGGAAGGAAAAGCTCTTTCAATATTACACGGCTTGCATTGCGCCCAAGGCTCGACGTTGTTTATATAATTTGATTTCTCCCCCTTCATTTCTTCCTTAATTATGTATTCTATGTATAATTTAGCTGTGAACAAAACGTTGTGACTTAATTAGACTCAACTATTTCTGTGGTTTAGGACAGTAATTAATCATTATATTATACTATAAGTTTTTTTTTAAGTACTAGCGATAGTCTAAAGTATAATTATTGATATGTATTCTTTTTTTTTTTTTTTAGTATAAGGGGGTAAAAGTTTATCACATACACACTACCGATAAGGGTTTGAACTTAAGATCATTAATCTGTAAATCAATGTCATTTTTTACTGCGCTGTTTATTACTATATATTTCTTTTAGTGTGCGTAATTAAGGTTCCATCTGTGCAATATTTTAATGGCTGTCAGATGGTTTCAATGGAGTCGCTTAATTTGATTGTGGTTTATGGGGAAGTGAGTGAGTGGAATTAGGAGACTTTGAATCGTCAACGACAAGAATGCCTTGGAAGTTTGTACTTGATTAAAGATTGGTTAAACTAACTCCCACTTTTTTCATCTTTGACATTACTAAAAATTGATATGCACGTGATTTGCTCTACAAGGAGATATGTATGCACGAGGCTTTCTAAATTAAACTTCAAAGAGAGAGATGAGATGAGAGAGCTAGGAATTCAATAAAGAAAATTTTCATTTTCATGGGTAAACACAATATAGTGCTTTGAATTTACGAATGTATTTGAGTTTATATATTTGAATATAATAAGTTAACGGATCAAATTGTAGTTTAAGATTATCTGGCATAACATAACACGAATACCCTAAAATACGACATACTACCAAGCACAAATAATAAAAGGCACATGCTCAAATTGGTGGTTATAAATGCCAATTCCATTCCTACAACCTCAAACATTAGCTCGATACCTCACCCACTCTAAACTCCGGTTAAGTTCCATATGAACTCCTAAGTTAAACCTTATTTGGACTCTAAGAAAGGAAGTTTTTTTTTTTTTTTTCTTTACAAAAAAAAAGAAAAAAAAGATGTATAATATATTGCTTATAATTATGTGCCTTATCTCTCTTATCACGTGAGTGACAAGTTATGTGGTCAAAGATACGGATTAAAATTTATCCTCATTACAAATGGCCTGATTCATGTCCCACAACCCCTGTGCCTACAGTTGCATGGGCTTCTTCCGTAACCCATGCTCAAGAGCAGTGTGCATGGGCTTGTTCCCAAGTGGAGCAGAGAAGACAGATTGGTGGTTGAAGAAGATGATGACAGTGATAATAATAATAATAATAATAATAAAATATTCAGTATTTATTTGCAATGGTCAAGAGATCTAGTAGCCATAGC